GTTCTTCATCTCTTGTGGGTTTCAAGAGAGGTGTTTTCTTTACTTTGTATTTTCAATTGTTATCTGTTTGTAACAACTTTGATTATAGTGACAACGTTAATCCTCTATTTGAGTGATTAGCAACTGGACGTAGGGTCTTTTGATCCGAACCAGTGTAAATCTCATGTGTAAGACTCTATCGTTATCTTATTTACATTTACACAGCTTTTGAATCGGTAAAATTTGGGGAAAATTTTTAAAACCTAATTTTTGTTAAGAAACAAATTTACCCCCCCCCCCCTCTTGGTTTTTGTCCGTCCACGCGAACATTTCGCTGCGCGATTCTAACACTCCACACAATATTCAAAGATTTTAATAGGGACAAGTAAAGATTATAGAATTAAAGTGAAGAGAGATGGAAAGAAGGAAAGATGCACACAATTTATACTAGTTCACTCTTTTGACAAGAGCTATATCTAGTTCTTAGCCACACCAACTAAGATTTCACTAAACAATCAAGAGTTTTTACAAATCAATAGAAATAAAAATATATACAAGTCTATTTTTGAACCCTACAAGAAATAACTTCATATCAATGACACCTTGTCACAACACAAACTCTGGAAATTCTATCCAACACTAGTGAAAAATGACATTTTACGTCACCCAATTGTCATCGCATGTCAAAATATTCGACGTAAATAAAACGTGGTGGCAATTTTGTAAATAAGAGGTGAAACTTTTACGTCGCATATTGTAGGAGGTGACGTTAAAAACCTCTTTTACGTCGCACCTGGTACAATGCGACATAAAAGAGAGCTTTTTAAGTCGCGTGGGGTGTGCGCGACATAAAAAGTGATACTTTTTACGTCACGTGGGGGGTGCACGACGTAAAAAGTATCATTTTTTTACGTCACATGGGGGTGCACGACGTAAAAAGTGATACTTTTTACATCACGTGGGGGGTGCGCGACGTAAAAAGTATCACTTTTTACGTCACATGGGGATACGCGACGTAAAAAGTGATACTTTTTACGTCACATGGGGGGTGTGCAACGTAAAAAGTATCACTTTTTACGTCGCGCACCCCCCACGCGACGTAAAAGAGGCTTTTTACGTCACGTGCTAGGGTGTGCGACGTAAAAAGTTCTTTTTATTCTCTTCCAGACCCACTCCCGCATCTTGCGCCGCAAGGATTTTTTAGAACGACGACGACAGCTATCTTTCCACACCATTTTCGATCATTTTGGCAGTGAAGAACATCAACATTGTGTCTCATTTTACAAATTTGACATTTCTCCCCGATTGGATTCGAGTTTGAAATCGTTTTCGTGTTTACTCGAGGTTAGTGTTCTATGTCTCCTGATATATGTTCAAATTGAATCTGTGATTGTTTTTGGGGATCTCAATCACGTCATTGTATGAATGTCTCCACTGGATTGTTATTGGAATGTCATTATTTTGTTTGAGTGCATTTTCGGTTTACACACTCCATATACATGCTTTGTTGTTTGTATATTAATTTATTTTTAAATATAAATTTTGAATCTCTAGGAGTGACGAAACTTTATAACATAATATGAATCGAAGTTGGATAAATGCACGTCGTATTAGTGAAGAGTACGAAAAGGGAGTTGATGAATTTTTGAAATTTGCTAGTGAAAATGGAAAAGGTATTGAATAATATATGACTTTTTTCATGTAGAATCATGTCTATAACTAATGTTCTAAGTGGAAACCCTAGAACAAAGACTTTGCAGTTCATTTATCCTAAGGTTAGAAACTTATTATAATAAGTGAATACTATAATTATTGTTTGTATTTAAATTTTGAAAATAACATTATATTTTATTCATCATTTCGAGTGTAATAAACAAACAAACTCATTTGAATGTGGTTACTATGTTATGTATTGGATGAGAACCATAGTTTGTGCGGGTATAATTGATTCTTGGACGAAGGTAATTACTTTCAGCATTAGTTAAGTTTATTTAACTTTATGTGTGTTGCATGTTTACAAGAGTCAAATTAATGTTTCAGGTATTTCAAGATCCATCTCTATTGCCAGAATATGATATCACACAAATTAGAGAATAATGGGCAAAGTTTTTCGTTCAACAATTCTAGTACTTAATTTTTTAGGTTATTGTTTATATTATATTGTGTGTATTATGTAGTTTAGGTAGCTTAGCTTGTACTAACTTTTAGTTTGTACTAACTTTTAGTTTGTATTAACTTTTTGTTTGTAATAGATTTTAGTTTGTAGGTTATTGTTTGTATTATATTGTTTTACTATGTAGTTTGAATTATATATAATATTATATTTTTTAATTACATAGCTAAAGAAACCTCAACCTCTGGATTGTTTGGTTATAATATATATTTGCAGGTTTTGGTTGTAAGACAAATAAACCCAATTTTTTTTAAAAAAAGGAGCAAATTTACGTCGCATATTGGTATACGTAACGTAAATGTACGTCGCATATTGGTATATGCGACGTAAATTTACGTCGCATATATCAATACGCGACGTAAATTTACGTCGCATATATCAATATGCAACGTAAATTAACGTTGTGTATACCAATATGCGACGTAAATTTACGTCGCGTATAACAATACGTGACGTAAATTTGCTCCAAATTTTTTAATTTTTTATACTTTTTACGTCTGTTTAGTGTAAATGCAACGTAAATTAACGTCGGGTCTCGATAACTGATGTGAATTTACGTCAGGCTAAGGGTCCGACGTAAATTTATGTCTCCCGTTTTAACGCCAGTCTTAAATGCGACGTAAAATACCCAAAATATCTGACGTAAAAAGCCTTTTTTGCACTAGTGCAAAAAATTACAACTTGAAATCATACAGAAAATGATGGAACACTTTCACATGGAAGAATAACAAATGTAGTAGAGTACAAAAATCAAATGAAATTTTATGTTTCTCCTTTACTCTAAAAAATGGTCATGAAATTTACCCCAAAAAAGTCTTCAAGAAAAGTTTGTTAGCTCGCTAGAAATATTTTCTCAACAATTGAAAAGATTTATGAAAATTGTATTCAAATGTTAAAGGTTTAGAAATGAATTAATAGTTCTAATAGACTAAAACAAAGTTTGAATTTGTTAATTTCACTTAATTGTGAAATTAATCCATTAAAATTATGTTTTAATATGTTAATTTTACTTAATCATAAAATTATTCTATTAAAATTACATTTTAATAAATTAAAATAGAATGATGAAACAGTTTTTTTTAACTTAGACAAGTTTTAATTTGTTAAATACCATTTAATCAATTAAAAAACTTGAAAAACACACATAAAGCCCAATAAGTTTTATTTTGTTTAAAACCCTTTTAACATATTAAAATAATGATTAAAACATTCTTAAAAAGCAAAAGAACATTTTAATTGATTAAAAACATGTTTTAACATATTAAAACAAAACCTCCAAAATAACTTATGCTTTTAATAATCTTAATCAATTAAAACCATTTACATAAGAACAGTTAAGATTAAAAACATTTTATTAAAATGAAAACTTCAAAATCAATTTCAAGACGCTTTCTAATAGTAATGTAATACCAAACTACTCAGAAGGAGAAACTTACGTTAAACCTAAATCGACATGCCACACACCCTCTAAGAACTTACTTCTTCAATCATCACGGAAAGGTTGAATTCAATTAATGACTCAAGCAAGAGTTAAAGCTTCATCTAGCACAATATTCAATAGGATCCAACAATTTCCTGCTATTTGATGAAAACAACTTTTTTGACGTGTTGAGCAAGGGGCGAAATTGATTTCTATTTCTGCACAATTTGTTTCAAAATAGAAATCACATAAACACAACATAGCTAAATACACATATATTCTCCCCTTTGAATTTATCAAACTGGGAAACATAAAAACCATTATCAAATATTCAGAACCATATTGTCCACATCCAGAATAGGCAAAGAAAAGAGAAAAAAATTTTGTTCACGATACAGATCCAAAAGAACGAGAAAATACAAGAAAAACATAATAAAGCATATGAGAATGGATGCAAAAGATTTTTAAATCTCCTAATGCCCTTTAGAGAACTGGAAAATCAGTTAGTTGATCATGAATTTGCTCAAATTGGTTGTCCACATGCTGAAAGCAAGAAATGAACATTTCATGGTGCATCCTTTGTCCTACTTTTGTTTGGTCCAACCTAGATAACATCATTTGTTCAAATTGGGACAAAGATGTGCAAAGATCAACATGTGGAACATATAGGATCATATCCATGATCATGGGGACATCATCGTTGGTGTTGTTAGGACCAACTTCATCACGTCCTTTGGAGGAGCACCATCATCTTCAACATCCTTTGAGCTCTAGCTAGCATCAACTTTAACAAAGTCCATCTTATTCAGTGTGACGTTTGTGATCTCATTCGTCCCACGAACAATCTCAGCCAGTTCATCATCAAGGTCCACCCCAAAATGATGCAAAATTTTGGACACGAGGATAACATATGGAAAGTGGTAATCAGGGACACATTTGGATTTTACCATGTAATCAGGGGGCCTTTTATGTTGTACATTAAAATCATATCACCTTCATTCAACAGAGCATGGTTTCTCCCCCGCGAATGAGCTGCCAAGCTATGATGAAGGTCAACAAGCATTCTTCAAGCTTGAGTCAACCATCATGGAACCCTTTGATGGAACTAGAGGGCTTCTTCAAACAACTTTTGTAGTACTGCACTTTGTTGAAATCCTCTATGGCACTTTTAGAGTCTTTGTAAACCTTGATTCCTTCATACTTAAGGTTAGTAAACTCCTTCCTTTTGGAGTGATCTTAATGTCCACCCCTTTTACTTGAGATTTGAGAACAAAACCTTCAAAGGTTAAGTTGGTGTAGAAGATTTTAACCAGGTTTGGATAAATTCTTCCAATCATCTCTAGAAGATTTTGCAACTTCTTTCTCAAACCAAGAAATTTATCCTCATCTAATTAGGAGAATTTGAGAACCTTTGGTACTTTGACTTGCTTGGGGCTTATCTCTTGAAGAAAGAGAGTTATTTTCTCCTAATTTTTAGCAAACCATGTTTCAACGTGGCCAACCTTAGTGTGTTGTTGAGACGCAGACTAAGAAGGTTCTCCTTTAAGGGAAGTTCTTCTACCAGCTACACGTCCCGACTAGGATTTTTTGTTAGAAATATTACTATATTATCTTTTATTTAAATTAAGTATTAAGAGATTTTATTATCTTTTAAAAGAGAAGGTAAAAAGACATTAAATTATTATTTTGATTTAGGCAGTTATGATTGAGATATTATGGATATTTGATATTTTGTAATATTTTTACTCTATATATACATAGAGTACATGAATAGAAATATACCCACATGATATATCAGAAATATATATACATAAAACCCTAAAAATTCCCAACAAATTAGTATCAGAGTCTAGTTCGATACAATGGAAGGAGAAATAAATTTTTCACAAGTCATTATTCTAGTTTTTTATGGAGAAAGTTATGACTTATGGACTGTGAGTATGCAATCTTATCTTGAAGGATTGGATGTATGGGAAGCTGTAGAAGAAGATTATATTGTTGATCCACTACTTGAAAATTCCAGTATAGCTGAAATGTAACTTCACAGAGAAAGAAAAACGAGGAAGGAAAAAGCTAAATCATGTCTGTTTGCTGGTGTTTCACAAATGATCCTCATCAGAATCATGACGCTAAAGTCACCCAATGAAATTTGGGATTATTTGAAAGATCAATATGAAGAGGATGAGAAAATTTGAGGTATGAAAGTTCTAAACTTGATAAGGGAATTTGAGATACAAAAGATGCAAGAGTCTTAAACAATTAATGAATACTGAAACAAATTGTTGAATATTGCTAACAAAATAAAATTGTTAGGCAAGGAATTTTCTGATTCCAGAATAGTTGAGAAAATTATGGTAACTGTGCCAGAGAGATATGAATCATCTATTGCTTCATTGGAAAATACAAAGGATTTGTCTAATATTACTTTGGCAGAAGTGCTACATACTTTACAAGCGCAAGAGAAACGAAGATTGATGAGAGGAGATCATGTTGCTGGTGAATGTTCTTTACTATATCATGATGGAGGTTCTCTCCAAGGCAAGAACAACAAAGGTACAAAATTACGAGTCTTTTCTATTTGTCCTTATTGGAAGAAAAATAATCATACACACAACAAGTGTTGGTGAAGACTTGATGTGAAATGTCACAAATATGGTTAATTGGGACATATAGAAAAGATATGCAAATCACAACCAGAGGAAGTCGTTCAAGTTATAGAGGATAGAGTAGAAGAGGTACTTCTCCTTGCATCAACATGCTCTACAAACAAAAAATCCACAGGTTGGCTTATAGACAGTGGTTGTACAAACTACATGACTCATGATCGAGAACTTTTCAAAGAGCTCAACGAATCACATATTTCTAAAGTGAGAATTGGTAATGGAGAACAAATGGATGTGAAAGGTATGAGAACAATTGAAATTAAAAGTCATTCAGGTATCAAATTAATTTTTTATGTTTTATATGTTCCTGATATTAATCATAATTTGTTAAGTGTTGCTCAATTATTGGAGAAAAGTTATAAGGTGTCTTTTAAATACAAACTTTGTGTGATTAAATATAAAAATAACTTACAAATATTCAAAGTTCACATGAAAGAAAAAAGTTTCACTTTAGATTTGATGAAAGAAGAGTTGATTACAAACAAGGATATAAAAGAAAAGTCAAAGAAAAAGCATGAAGAAGATTTCTTGAAGGAACTTGATGTTAAGGAGGAAAATAAAGATGTAGATGAAAAAACCATTTCCAACATCCATCAAAGAGTCAACAATACTATCATAAAGAGGTTTGAAAGAAACAAAGGAGATGAAGTTGATAAAGAAAAAAATATTTTGATAAATAAAATGAAATTGAACAAAGATGTGATCACACACAAGAAAGAAGATGACAAAAAATACAAACAAAAAAGGAAGAAAAATTATAAGCAAAATAAAAGAAAAAGAAAAATTATCAAATTCAAAATAAATAGATATTAAACACTACAAGAAAAATTGAAATTTCCGACGGACAAAATCCGTCGGTAAGTGAAAAATTCGTCGGTAAATAGATATTACCGACGGATTATCGAAGGGCCCAAATCCGTCGGTAATAGCGTTGTCGGTAAATTTTACCGACGGATTTTGCTAGTCCGTCAGTAAATGTCATGGGTATTTACCGATGGAATATCCGTCGGTAAATACCCATGACATTTACTGACGGAATAGCAAATTCGTCGGTAAGTGTCATAGATACTTACCAACGGATATTCCGTCGGTAATTACCAATTATGCGTAAAACTTATCGACGGATAATCCGTCGGTAAATCCGTCGATAAAACCAGACTCTAGTTCCAGAGCATGTTATTTTTTTATCCCATATAACCTGTAAAATAATATTCAATCCAGTCCAATTCAACAATATTCAATCCAGTCCAATTCAATAATATATTAAACAATTCAATTAAACATAAATCTAACTCACGTTAATCATAAGTAAATTCAAATGTGCTGTAATTTATGCATAATGAAACATAATGTATAATCCTAAAAAGAGGATCAACATACAAATAGAATTGAAATATTATTCTATAGATGTTTATATAACATTTAATAATGAGAGTAATCAGGAGAATGATGTTCTGGTATGTTGTCCTGTGGTGGGTTATCTTGTTTCTCTTCATTCAGTTGTTGTTGGGGTTGTTGTTCATCATGTGTTTCACTATGTTGACGCTGTTGAACAACAGATTGTGCAGTGGGGGGTAGAAGATGACCGACAAGGGATTGAAACTCTCTAAATTGGTGCTCTAGTCGTTCATTCTGCTCCCTTATTCGACGTATTTCTTCTTCTTGTACAGATAATCGTTGTCTCAACTGATTAATCTCTTCTAAGTCAACTGAGGAGCTGGATGCTTGAATTTGATTCTTCAAGCTATCTGAACCACCCTGATAGCCATCAGCAAGTTGTCCAGCCCCATACAATCTTCCTTTATTCTTACCTCCAACTGTATCCACCCAACAACGGGACCTTATAACTTCATCATGTGCAGAATCAGCAGGAGTAGACTCAGGTTCGCCACCACAAGATCCAGCAGATGACCTAGCTTGTGAAAGTCTAGTTTCAAATTCCTCATATTAATAGAAACAAATCAATTATTAACATGATTATTAACTCTACATAATATACAAAATTTAACATGAAGGTTCTCACGTGTGTCTTCCTAGATCTTTCATCAACAAAATGACCCGTCTTCCTCCTAATATGAGTCTGTTGGAAGATCTCATCAATAAAAACTGATCTTCCAAGCTCCTTTACCTACATTACATAAACAATTTGAGATATAAAACCCAATAAATATTGAATAAATCATAAATGTATGATATAAAGACTTACCATACGTATGGCATGCTCATGTGTGCTGATAGAGCCACCTGTGTGAAGGCTCCCACCCTTTTCTGATGCCCTATTTTTTTGGGCTTGTGCAGATTTGGACCGATACATTGGTGAGTTCCAATGTGCTAGCAAACTACTCCAAACGTGATCTCCAATCCAGTCTGGTCTTTGACCAGCAATTCTTGCATCCCTAAACATCTCACTAAGTCTGTGAGATGCTTTGGAATGAAAATTCTTCTTTATTTGATGTTCATGCTCTGGTCTCCAGTGAACCTTCATCTATAAAAGTATAAATTGTTATACACATTATAGAAAATTGACTACAAAACATATATTCAATAATTATAAATATATACATTAATGGAAATCAATAGTAACATTAATAATTAAGTATGTACACAAGATTAAGTTACCTTAAAACGTTGAAAAAATGACTCCTTATCACTATTAAGTATCACTCCCCATGTGGCCCAAGGTTGAAGAAATTGTTGTTTAATACTCTTTGTTATAGCTTGTGATGCAACTCTAGACGGAAGAAACCTAATTACAAAGAAAAATTAATACAAGTTACATATGTGCTGAAAATGACTAAAACTTATTTATAATAAATAAATTGGAGAATTTAAATTAAATATTACCCTCGACCATAAGGTTCAATCATCGGTCTGTTGAACATTCAAGGACTTGATGTTGCAAATAATGATCATGAAGAATGCTGATTTTGATGATGATCCAAGAGCTTAAAGACTTAGAGTATTGAAGATTGAAGATTGATGATTTCTGTATTGTAATAACTCTGTTTTAGTTTGATTGAGTCTGTAATTATAGAATCTAAGATAGCCGGTACATAGTCCGTAACTTAGAAGCTTCAAAAAGCTCAAATTTATCATTCGAGGCTCGGCTTT